TTAACTCTGATTTTTTCTTCACAGATGCTGCCAGACCTGCTGAGCTTTTCCAGCAACTTTGCTTTTGCTCTGATTTACAGCATCCACAGTTCTTTCGGTTTTAATTGGTCAGAGCGGTTGACTTTAAGAAGCCGAGAGAGGTGGAGAGACACTGGGCAGAATGCAATGTTTCTGTGACTGAGACGGTTGGGCAAGGAGAGTTGTAGGAAGTTCACAAGAGACTGCAGTCAGGGCAATGCGTTGTCAGGTGAAGGAAGCGTTGTTGGTGTGAAAAGGGACAAAAACAAGAGGAGACCCGCATGTAGGTCTGTGATTACAGAGTGAAGGACAAACAGAGCTGGGGGATGGTGAGGAGTCAACGGTCAGATGTTTCGAGCGTTGTGTTCACTGCTCGGTTGAGATATAGTGCAGGAACACTTGGCGTCAGTAGCTCAGTACTAGGTGATCCGTTGTCTCCTGTCCTTTACAGTGCCCTGCGTCTCACCAGTAGCTGCACCTTTCTGGAAGACGAAATTGTGGAGCTGAAGAACCAAATTGAACAGCGGCAAATTGAACAACAGGACTGGAGGCAGGAGCTGGAGCAGTTGCAAGTGTGTAGTCAGGTATGCCTTTCACTGGGAGGCAGGACAATGGGAAAAGGCAGCTCCAAATGCTGCCTTTGGCACTTTATAATGTGAGTCTTCTGCTTGGGTGCAGAGTGGTGTGGGCTCCAGTTCAGATATTGTCTCATCTGACCTTGGTCTTAATCCAGGATGTTTATTCATATGTACAGACTTTTTGTTTCTGTTTAACAGATTGAAGAGAGAAATTCCAGAGCCAAACAACTGGGGTTGGCCATCAAACAGCAGGAATCAGAGGTGAGCATGGAATCTCCCTTGTCTTTGTCAATGCTGATTCTGTCTTAAACCTTCGGGTCAAAGACCTTTTCTTATCTGCTTATTCCATTGCTCTTATCAGCAAATAGTTGGTGTGTTGCTTCATACTTTGTCAACTGTTTGAAGGTCCCAAACAGTCAGTCCCACTCCCCTGTTCTTTCTCCAATCTTCTTTTTTCAAGTTTTGGTCTAGTTCCCTTCTTTCCCTTTGAATCTCCTTCCATCATCGTTTCTGGCTCTGCATTCCAGATTATAAATCCCTATCCAAACAAATCAATCCTCATCTCCCCTCTTGTCTGTTTGCTAATCACCTTAAATCCTTGACCCTACAGTTATTGACCGTTCTGCTAGTGGAAGTGTTTTCACCAGATTTACTGCCTCAGTATCCTTCTCCATTTTGTATAAATCCATTAAACCTCCTCTGAACTCTGTTCTAAGGAGCAGAGCTTTCAGGAGCTCCTGTCTCTCCGCATGACTTGAATTTCCTCATCCTTGAAACCATTCTAGTCATTCTGCTCCGTACCCTTTCCCACAACTTGATATCCTAAAGTGCCCAGCCCAGGACTGGGATATAGTATTCCAGTTGAGGCCTAATCCAGTCTGTTATAAAAGCTCAAGCATTTTTTTCCTTTCTTTTCACTCAAAGCCTCTTTAATAAATCTGAGGATCTTGTTTGCTTTTTTGAAACAGTCTCCCTAACTTACACTGCCACTTTTGAAGAGCAGTTTGCACACTCCCTGACTCAGGTCTTCCTGTTTCTGCGCTCCCTTTGTAAATGTACTGCACTGTTTGTTTTCTCACTCCTTGTTCTTTGGTGGATCACTTCACTGTGCCAAGATGTATCTGCCATGTGCCAGTCTGTTTCACCGCCAGTTGCCGTTCTCCTGAATCTTTGCTCCGCTTGCAACCTTCCTGCAAACTGGCGCCCTATCTACCCGAACTCAGGTCGTGCATGTACAGTAAAAAGAAAGTTGCTGACTTGCAGTCATTGCAGACATGATGGGCTGAATGGTCACCATTGATGCTGTAACCATCTGTGATTCCATTAAACTCATGGGGAACGCAACTTAGGTCCAGTCAGAAAAGTAATTGTTCGCTACCACTGTTTGTTCTGTACCCTGACCCAGTTTTGTACCTGTGCTGCCATTGTGTCTCTAATCCCATCAACTTCAACTTTGTCCACATTTGTTGTACTTTGCCTAATGCTTTTTGAAAGCCCAAATACACAACATCTACCACACTCTCCTCATCAAACTTCATTCAAAGAACTTGATCAGGTTAATCAAATGTGGTATGCCTTGGACAAATTGTGCTGACTTTCATTGTATTAAGTTGTGCCTTTCCAAAGCTGGTGAGTTTTGTTGCCTCCCCGGCCTCCACCAGGGGCAGCACGGTGGCTCGGTGGTTAGCGCCTCTGCCTGACAGCACCAGGGACCCGGGTTCGATTCCACCCTCTAACGACTGTGTGGAGTTTGCACATTCTCCCAGTGTCTGTGTGGGTTTCCTCCGGGTGCTCCAGTTCCTCCCACAGTCCAAAGATGTGCAGGTTAGGTGGATTGGCCACGTTAAATTGCCCATAGTGTCCAAGAGTGTGCAGCTTAGATGGATTAGCCATGGGAAATGTAGGGATAGCATACGGGGTTGGGTCAATGTGGGATGCTCATTGGAGGGTAAGTGTGGACACAGTGGGCCAAATGGCCTGCTTCCACATTGTAGGGATTCTATCAACACCAGCCTGTGGCAGACTACCCTGCAGTTTCTGAATTTATTTATTTATTTACGTATTTATTTATTTATTTTCCCCTATCTTCTAAGATTATGGCCACAATTTGAAGGTTTACACCTTGCCTCCATCAGTTTTTATCCCATTCAGTCCATGTGACCATATTAAATTGAGTGTGGCTGATCTTTGAAGCATGAGCTGTTTGTTTCTGTCCTGTGTAGTATCACAACTGTGTCCTGCAGCATTGGTAGCATCTGCTTGTTTAGTGACAACAGATCCAAAGTCAGTGCCCAGGCATGGTCTCTGACCTTTTCAAAGCTAATCACTCCTACCCTTCCTTTCGATGGCCCTTTTTTAATCACCTAATTACATTTGCAAAAGTGTTTCGGCTTCCATCCTAAGTAGGCTGCTAAACTAGTCTCTAATGCTGTCCTTTTGCCCCTTTTGCCGCTTTTGAAGTTTAACTTGTATTATCATAGAACAGTTAAAACTCAAAAAAGGCCAATTGGCCTGTCACTGCCTGTGCTGACCCTTAGCATAACGTTAGTCATAAAAAACATAAAATAGAAATTTCTGGAAAAGTTCAGCAGGTCTGGCAGCATCTGTGGAGAGAACTGAGGAAGATCTGAAATATCAACTCAGATTTTTCTTCACAGATAACTACCAGACCTCCTGAGCTTTTCCAGCAATTTCTATTTCTGATTCACAGCATCAGCAATTCTTTCAGTTTTTAGTTAGTCTTGAGCACCTTTTTCTGGTTTTTGTTTTCCCTGATATTTTGAACACTTGCCAAACCTTAGGATTTGCACAAACCTCCACCTTTTTCTCCTATCCCCATCATGTCTGCTTACCCCCTGCTAAGTGCATTTTGACAGATATCTTTCCTTGAGTTAGTGTGAGCCAAAGCACGGGGATATCATTCTATAGATTTAATTTTCTCTACTCCCTCCCTCCCTCTCGTATACAGTTGAATGAACTCCAATGCAAGATGAGCATAAAGAGACGACACCTCTCCCTAAGCTCCATTAAAGCTCGCAACTTCTTCTGTAAGAGAAAGATTCGTCTCAACATCAAATGCGGACTGCAGGTAGGTGCGCAGATGGAGGGTCAGGTGGATTTGGGAGAGTTGTTCCTATCTGTGGGCTGAGAGAACTGTTTGGATCCCACTGCAGAGACCTACAGTGAAAATGCAGCCTCGATTCTGTGTTCAAGTCTTGGAACTGAGAACTAAGTGCTCAACTTTTAGTTGAGATGACCAGTAACTGAATTTAGAGACTTGAACACCAAAATTAAGGCTCGTGATTCAGTATCAGTGCTGAGGGAGCGCCGTGCTGTTGGAAGGTCAGCTGTGAGGGAGCGTAGCAGGTTATTGGTATGTTTTTTCAGGTGGATGTTAAAGATCCCCTGGCTGTTATTTTGTTGAAGAGTAAGGGAGTTCATCTTTTGAACTGTGACTGTGCAGATGGAGGCCATGTGATCCCATTTGCTTCGGTTCCTGAATGTTTTAACTTGGTGCCAAACTCCTGTCTTTCATTAATAACGCTTCGCATGTGCCATTTCTATTTTATTGGTGTCCTGGCTAATTATATATTGCTGAATCAATCTCCTTAAATTAGATTTTCTGGTGTTTATTATATCGTCGTTTGTAGGTTACATTATAACTGTGTTTCCAATATTTTTGGACTTCCTGAGGTTGTATAAGAAATATTGCTACTTTAAGTCACAGTCAACACCAAGCTTTGCTTTAAGCTTTTACTGCCTTTCTTCCTCCCTGCACCCCTTCCCGAGCATGATCCTCTCTGCCTCAGAGCTCTCTGTTTTATTTTCCTCTCTTTTTGACTTGTGTTCAGGAGATGAAGCATCAAGCCCGGAATGAAGGGCTGGAATCTGAGGAGGAGAATGAGGAGGGCAGTGATGCTGATGATGATGAAGAGGATGATTGTGATGATCAAGTGCAACCTCTGTTAGCAGGGGAGAGTGATCCTGTCTCAGACAGAGATGGGAACCTTCACGTATTCACTGTCAGCTCCACCGAGTACCTGAAACTCCAAGGCAAACTGCTGCGTGATGGACCCGCTCAGGTGTTCAGCAATATCGAGGACACAGGTTTATATCTTCCGTGCACCCTTCTCCTTTTCCTCTTCCATGAACCTCCTGCAGGGCCGAGGCTGGTGGTCAGAAGCTAAGAATCTAGATCATCTGCAACCTGCTCTGTTACATGTGTAACTCTTGATAACCGTTGGCAACTCTGTCACTTCCTGCAAACTCAAGCTCTTTTCCAATCGCAGGAAGAGGCCATTTGGTCTTAATCACTGTGCAGGTTCTTCGAAAGAGTGTTCCTCACCCCCTGCAGTTTATTCCCAAAGCTCTACAAAATTCTTGTTTTAGATTACTTATCCAATTCATTCTTGAAAAATTTCAAGAAAAATTCCCCTCTATATTAAGTCTTTAAGGTCAATAAAACTAATTCTTCTCAGTTGTTTCCTGTGAACTGTAGATTCTTTGTACGTGAATATTCACAAAATAGAGAGCTTAGACTTGCTCAGCTTCTAAGAGCCCTGCTAATTTTTAACCAAACGCTTCTGGTCTGGAAATTTCACAAATGTTTACACTGCCGTTACTGTGCTTTCTCAGTATGACTCTTTATTCTTTTCTATAGCTACTATACTTGCTTCATAGTCAGGTCTTCTCAAACTGCCAAAAACTTTTGAACTTTGGGGTTTCTAATTTAAGATAATCCTTGATTATCCAGAACCAAAAAATAAGCTGTTGGCCCTCGATGTTTATGCTCCCTGTTGTTAACCAGCACAGTACAAACAATCTTCAATTAAATCTCCAGGCGTTCCCTGCTCCCTGAAATATATTGTATTAAGTTGCTATTCTGGAATGATCGTCTGTATTAGTTCTTTTAAATCCTGCACAAAAGTAAAACTCCAATATGGCTTGAACTTAAAATCTAAACTTTAAAATGATAAATATAACTATAAATCTCACAGCTTTCTTATACTGAGCTGTGACCTAACTCTCTCTACTATAGAGTGGCAAGGTGACTGAGTGGTTAACACTGCTGCCTCACATCACCAGGGACTTGGGTTTGATTCCACCCTCAGGCGACTGTCTGTGTGGAGTTTGCACATTCTCCCCGTGTCTGCATGAGTTTCCTCCGGGTGCTCTGGTTTCCTTCCGTAGTCCAAAGATGTGTAGGTTAGGTGGATTGGTTAAATTTTTCTGTAGTCTTCAGGAATGTGCAGGCAAGATGGAGTAGCCATGGGAAATGTGGGGTTGGGGGAATAGGTCTGGGCGGGATGCTCTTCAGATGGTCAGTGTAGAATCGATGGACCAAATGTCCTCTATCTGCACTGTAGTGATTCTGTGATTCCCTATGCCTGTTGCCTCTCCTCAGGCTCGTTTCTCCATATGCTTCCTCCCCATATTCATCAATACGTTCGGGTTGTGATTTCTCGTTATTGTGATACTGAGCTCTTTGTGAGGCTGAGAAGGTTAACATTTGCTGTCTTCGCGGAGAATCTCATAGCTGCTTTAGAAGGAGAACATCAGCCACGTTCTCTGCTAGGGTTTTGTGGGTTGGGAATTCCTAAAAATGGTCTTGAATGTGATGCCATCTGCAGTTGAATAGTATTTGGGAATTGGGATGTCAAAGTCAGAGTCATGGAGTCATACAGCACAGAAACGGACCATCTATCCAACTTGTCTGTACCGACCAGGTTTCCCAAACTAATCCCAGCTACCTGCGCTTGGTGCATAACCCTCTCAACCTTTCCTATTCATATACTTACAATGTCTTTTAAATCTAAACTTTAAAGGGGAGGCGATGGCCTAGTGGTATTATCGCTCGACTGTTGATCCAATGACCCAGATAACGTTCTGGGGACCCAGGTTCAAATCCTGCCATGGCAAATGGTGGAATTTGAATTCAATAAAATATCTGGAATTAAGAATCTAATGATGACCGTCAATTGTCTATTGTTGGAAAAATCCATCTGGTTCACTAATGTCCTTTAGGGAAGGCAACTGCCATCCTTACCTGGTCTGGTCTACATGTGACTCCAGACCCACAGCAATGTGGTTGACTCTGAGCTGCCCTCTGGGCAATTAGGGATGGCCAATAAATGCTGCCTGGCCAACAATGCCCTCATCCCGTGAATGAATAAAGAATAAAAATAAATGTAACTGCACCTGTATCTACCACTTCCTCTGGCAGCTCATTCCATTATTGCAGCACTCTCTGTGTGGACTGGAAAGCCTTTAAAACCCAGCAGAGGATAACTAAGAATGAAATATGAGAGTAAGTTGGGTAGTAATATAAAAGAAGATTGTAAAAGTTTTTTTTAGATATCTAAAAGTAAGAGAGTGGTAAGAGTGGGCATTGAACTGCTGGAAAATGAGGCTGGAGAAGTAGTAATGGGGAGCAGAGAAATGACAGAGGAACTGAACAGGGATGGTGAAAGTCACCAGCAGCATCCCAGAACTTCAAGAGAGTCAGGGGACAGAGGTGAGTGTAGTGCCCATCACTAAGGAGAAGGTGCTGGGGAAGTTGAAAGGTCTGAAGGTGGATAAATCACCCAGATCAGAAGGACTACACCTGGGGTTCTGAAGGAGGTAGCTGAGGACTTTGTGGAGGCATTTGTTGGTGATCTTTCAGGAATCATTGAAGTCAGAAAGGATGCCAGAGGACTGGAAAATGGCTAATGTAAAGCTCCTGTTTAAGGGAGGGAGGGAGGCAGAAGACAGGAAATTGTAGGCTAGTTAGTCTGACATTAGTTGTTGGTAAGTTTTTAAGAGGCTGTTATTAAGGGTGCGATTGTGGAGTACTTGGAAATGCATGGTAAAATAGGTCTGAGTCAGCACAGTTTTGGTCAAGCCTGACAAATCTCTTAGAATTCTTCGTCTAACCTGCTTCCTAACTCCTCAAAGGAGAGCCAGTGGATGTGATCTATTTGGATTTTTAAAGGACCTTTGACAAGGTACTGCTGACTAGGCTGCTAAATAAGACGAACCCATGGTGTTAGGAGCAAGGTACTGGCATGGGTCGAGGCAGAAGGCAGAGAGTGGGTCTTTTTCAGGATGGCAGCCGGTGACTAATGGAATTCTGCAGGGGTCAGTGGTAGGATCACAACTATTCACACATATGTTAACAAGCTGGTTGAAAAAACTGGGGGCATTGCTGCTAAGTTTGCAGATGACACAAAGATAGGTGAAGAGACAGGTAGTATTGAGGAAACACGGAGGCTGCAGAAGTTAGGGGAATCAAGAGTTATGGGGAGAAGGCAGGAGAATGAGGTTGAGAAACTTCTCAGCCATGATTGAATGGTGGAGCAGATTTGATGGGCTGAATGGCCTAATTCTCCATCTGTATCTTTTGGTCTGATGGTCTATTTGGACGACCCTGTTGAGGCTCCTGATAGTGGAATCATGTATGTGGTGGGGAGGGAATTCTGAAGTTCAATCACAGGGATGTTAATTCTGAGCTGCCTGCTTTGATTTTCTGCAGAAATCCCCGCAGTTCAACGTTTCGTTCATCAGATCACCCTGTCAAGACGGGTCATCGCCACGGAGATGGTCATCCGCAGAGTGGCTACCTTCGTTAGTCACGTGGTCACATACCTGACTAATCGCAGAGCCCAGGTAAACATTGGAAACCTGCTGTGTGGTGTCAGCATTGTTGCAGGGTTGTGCGGTGGGGCGTGTGGAATTGCAGCCGGAGTAGGGGTGAGCACACTCCGAGATAGTAGGAACTGCTGATGCTGGAGTCGGAGTCAACAAAGTGTGGAGCTGGAGGAACACAGCAGGCCAGGCAGCATCAGAGGAGCAGGAAATTCGATGTTTCGGGTCGGGACCCTTTTTTCAGAAAAGTAGGGTGAGCTCACTCCCCCGCTTACTGAAGCACTAGGGTGAGCCATTTTTCATGCACTCCCTGCCTGTTGCCACCTCTCGCACACTCAAAGCAGGGTTAGGAGAGAGTCAGAATTGCAGGCTATCTGTGAATGTGAATCCTGGCTCCTCGCTGCTGGTTAAGAGTAAGTAGTTAAACAAGAGATTGTGGTTTAATTGATTAATAATTGAGTGGACATAATGTGGAATTAGGGCTCTTGTGCTGCAATGGTAGCGTCAAAGAACAAACAAAGAGCAAAGAAAATTACAGCACAGAAACAGGCCCTTCGGCCCTCCAAGCCTGCGCTGATCCAGATCCTCTATCTAAACCTGTCGCCTATTTTCCAAGGATCTGTATCCCTCTGCTCCTTGCCCATTCATGTTTCTGTCTAGATACATCTTAAGTGATGCTATCGTGCCCGCCTCTACTACCTCCGCTGGCAATGCGTTCCAGGCACCCACCACCCTCTGTGTAAAGAACTTTCCGTGCATATCTCCCTTAAACTTTTCCTGTCTCACCTTGAAATCGTGACCCTTAGTAATTGAGACCCCCAGAAGACCCAGGTTTAAGTCCCACTTCCCACAGAGAGGTGTGTTGTAACATCTCTGAACAGGTTGAAAAACACTTAAGACCGAATAGCTCATAGATTTCATCCGCCAAACAAAAACTGGTATCTCGGTTTCTGTTCCCTTGACTTGTTTCCATCTGATTTCAGCATTGGCACCAGTTGACTCAAGGTGAAGGTTGGAAACGAAGAATTCCTTTTGGGCAGAAGGTTTAACTTGAGATGTTTTTGAGAAGAATGGGTGTAAAGTGTTGGAACCTAATTTCCCCCTGATTTTCTGTGAAGTTGAATCTAATGATTGATGGAAAAGTGAGGTGGAGGTATAGACACCAGTAACGTTTTTACCAGAGAAAGGCTATTGAAACACTATTGCTTCCTACCCGAAACAAGATCAGATGGAAAGTATTCAGAACTGGAGCTACAAGAAATTGACAAGGGGACGCTTGTGGTGAAGTGGCAGTGTCTATACCTCTGAGCCTGGAGGCCTGGGTTCAAGTCCCACCTGCTCCCACCTCTGAACAGGTTAATTAGAAAATTAAGGAAGTCAACCCTGAGAAAGATTGGGATAAACAGCTAACATTTATGGACATAGCTATTAGAAAAATACGTAAAAGGCACGGTCAGACTTTGGCAAATTCAAATTGGAAAATCTTAACTTGGTGCTTGCCTTTAAGTTGTTGGCCTTTATTAAGGTACTAAGCATGGTTAGCCTGTTGATATTAACTGGAGTTAGATTTCCAGAAAGAAACTTGATTTTGGAACAATTTTCGGAAGCCTGGTGGAAGCAGGTGGATTCGAACCCAGGTCCCTGGCGCTGTGAGGCAGCAGTGCTAATGTCCAAGCCACCGTGCTGCCCAATGGACCTCAGTGGGCTCTCAAAGTTTTCAAAATTACTCATGGCGCGGAGGGTTCAGACAGAGAATATGGTAATACTGATCAGACTGACGGAAGTGTGCTAGTTTCAAGGAGCTTCAACCCCATAATGAATATTTTAGTCAGAGACTCATCCAGACTCACTGTGTTGGACACTGGATCCTTGTTCGGTGTGTGGAGTAGGCTGGTTAAAACGTTAGATGCTTTCAGTGATAAGGACTGAAGTAAGGTTGAGGAATTTGAGTTCTACTTCCTTCAGGTTTGAAGGCACATGACACCAGTATAGTCCAACAGGTTTATTTGAAATCACAAGCTTTTGTAGCACTGCTGGTTTGTCAAGTCCTTCAGGTTTGGTATGGCAACATCCTTGATGTGATGAGAAGAGTAGTGATTTGCTGTAAAATAGCTGGTAAAACATTTTTATCATCACATGTCAGGTGGAATGCCCTTACTGTGGAGCAGGCTGTCTACAGAAAAGGCTCTGGTGAAATTGGACATGGAACACAGGACGGCAACTGTTTGTGGAAAGTCGGTGGATTTGTAGTTTACACAATCTGGATATTATTGTATTCCTTTACCAAGACCTAACTTCTCTTATCAAAATATTAAGCAAGTGTTATTGGTATCAGAGGATAGGAGTTTAAAGGGGGGGAGAAAGTCTTCATACTAAATCAGCAGTTTGCCCATCCATCAGCTCACAGGTTAAAAATCCAACTAAAGGATGCAGGAATAAGGGACAATGAGGACGCTAAACAATATCAGCATTAAATGTGAGATATGTTATTTTTTAAAAAAAAGAGACACCAACTTGGCCAATAAGTTGTTTGAAAAACTCATCTGGTTCAATAATGTCCTTTAGGGAAGAAAATCTGCCATCCTTACCTATGTGTGACTCCAGACCCATAGCAATGTCGTTGACTACCAGTTATCCTCTGAACATTTAGGGATGGACAATAAATTCTGGCCTAGCCAGCCAGCAACATCCATATACTGTGGATGAATTTAAAAATAGTGTCCCGTTAGCTTTTAATGTAGTTACAACAATGGAAGTTACAAGTTGCAGGATTTTGACCCAGAGACATGAAAGGAAATGCAATGTATTTCCTATGTATCTGCTCCCTTGTCATTACAGATGGAAGTGGTCATGGGTTTGGAATGTGCTGCCTAAGGATCCTAGGTGAATTTCTGCAGTGCATCTTGCAGATGGTATACACTGCTGCTACTGAGCGACAGTGATAGAGGGATTGGATGTGGTGCCAGTGAAGTAGGCTACTTTGTCCTGGATGGTGTCAAGCTCCTTGAGATAGTAGGAACTGCAGATGCTGGAAAATCTGAGATAACAAGGTGTAGAGCTGGATGAACACAGCAGGCAGTAACTTCTTCCCCAGCTACACTCACCTTTCTTGGCTCCATCCCCGCCTCTTTGACCTGTCTGTTTCCTCTCCACCTATCTTCTCCTCTATCCATCTTCTATCCGCCTCCCCCCTCTCCCTATTTATTTCAGAACCCCCTTCCCCTCTCCCATTTCTGATGAAGGGTCTAGGCCCGAAACGTCAGCCTTCCTGTTCCTATGATGCTGCTTGGCCTGCTGTGTTCATCCAGCTCTACACCTTTTATCTCAAGCTCCTTGAGTGTTGCTTGAACGACACTCATCCAAGAATGTGGGGAGTGTGCCATCATACACCTCACTTGAACGTTGTTGATAGTGGACAGCTTTTGGGGAGTCAGGAATTCATAGCCTCTGACCTGCTTTTGTAGCCACTGTATTTAAATGGCTAGTCTAATTCAATTTCTGATCAATGGTAACCCCCAGGATGTTGATAGTGGGGAATTCAGTGATGGTAATGTCATTGAATGTCAAGGGTCAGTTGGTTAGGTTGTGTGTTATTGGAGATTGTCATTGCCTGGCATTTGCGTGGCAAGAATGTTACATGCCACTTGTCAGCCGAAGCCAGGGTGGCATGGCGACTCCGTGTTTAGCACTGCTGTCTTACAGCGCCAGGGACCTGGGTTCGATTCCACCCTTGGGCGACTGTCTGTGTGGAGTTTGCACATTCTCCCCGTGTCTGCGTGGGTTTCCTCCAAATGCTCCGGCTTCCCCCCCGACAGTCTAAAGATCTGCAGGTTAGACTGATTGGCCATGCTAAATTGTCCATAGTGTCTGTGGAAATGCAGGCTAGGTGGGTAAGCCGTGGGAAATGCAGGGTTACAGAGATAAGGTAGGAGGGCTGGGGCTGGGTTTGGGTCTGGGTGGGATGCTCTTTTGAAGGGTCAGTTTGGACTCAGGTCGATGGGCTGAATGGCCTGTTTCCATGCTGTAGGGATTCTATGATAATGTGCACGTTGCATTTGAATATGGAGGAGTTGTGAATGGTGCTGAACCATTGTGACCTTATGATGGAAAGAGGATCATTAATGAAGCAGCTTAAGATGGTTGGGTCTAAGACACTACCCTGAGAAACTCCTGCAGAGATGTTCTGGAGCTGAGATAGGAATAAGTGAAACCAAAACACAAGTTGCTGGCCAAACCCAGCAGGTCTGGTAGCATCTGTGGGAAGAAACAAGTCTGCTGGAGAGTCACTGGACTCGAAACATTAACTTTACATTCTTCCCACTGATGCTGCCAGATCCGCCAGCAATTTCTGGGTTTTTTCCGGATCTTGAGCAGTTTTGGTATCATATTAGGAATGAGTAGGTCTTTTTCAGGCTGATGGGATGGCCCGAGTGGTGTCTCAAGGAGTCAGTGCTGGGACCTCATCTCTTTACAATTTAGAGTCATGGTTTGGATGAAGGAGCCGAGGTATGGGAGCTAAATTTGCTGATGACGCAAAAATAGGTCAGAAAGTGAGTTGTGAAGAGGAAATCAGGAGTCTACAAAGGGATACAGATAGGTTAAGTGAGTGGGTAAAATTCTGGCAAATAGAATACAATGTGGGAAAGTGTGAAACTGTTTATTTTAGCAGAAAAAATATTTTTAAAAAACAGCATATTATCTAATTGGTGAGAGGAAGCAGAGGGATCTGGGTGCCCTAGTACATGAATCATAGAAGGTTCCTCTGCAGGTACAGCAAGTAATCAGGAAATCGCATAAAATGTTACATTTTATTGTGAGGGGAATTGAATATAAAAATAGGGAGGTGATGCTTCAGGTGTACAGAGTATTGGTGAGACTAAGATGACTGACCTCCAACAACCACAATCATCTTCCTTTGTGCCAGAAATGACTAAACAGAGTTTGCCCCCAGATTCCCATTGATTCCAGTTTTGCTCAGGCTCCTTGATGTCACACTCTGAGTTGCAGTAAGGTTAATTAGGGGTTAATTTATTCATTGACAGGACAGATATAAAAGGGGAATGGGTGGGACTGTTTGTGGAAGGAGCTGTAAGACTGAGAAAGTTAATAAACTCTGTCCACAAAGAAAGGTGTCTTGGTTTCTGCCTCACTGACTGGCTTAGATCCAGTGTGACAGCTGTGGGGTGTCTCCTTGCTGGTGCCCCTCTTTTTCACTGGTGTGTCACGATCACCAGCTCCCCAAAGGGCAATAGTTCCTGTGCCCATATTTTCATTTCTCAACCTCCTGACCTGAGTTATCTGGTGTGTGTGGCTTCAACCCCTCCCTGCGCGGGTTAGCTCCAGTCTGTATACCACAGTGACGTACAATCTGCAGTGTCTCTCTCCTCAGGATGCCTCTTATCAGGCTCAGGTTCGAGAAACAGTGAGAAACTGTCTGTCCCAAGTGAAAGAGTTCTTCCAGCAAACAGCCGAGGACTGTAACCGAGAAGTGGGAATTTCATTCTCCCTGATCACAACGCAGCTGAACGTGGGGAAGAGTTTGGCAGTGAAGAGTTGCGAGCACAGCGTGCACAAGTGGGGATTGCCGGTAAGTTCTGGGCGTTTTTATTGAGCCGATGGCTCCGTAACCTATTCTTCAGAACCTGTTAACTGCTGCTGGCCACTGCTGACATCACCTATTGCACAGCAGGTCATTATGTGTGTTGGTGTGTATCCCAACCTGATCCCACGCCCCCATAGCCTTAGTTAAATCAATTCATGAATTCATCCTACTGTCCCCACACCCTCTGTATAGCCCTGTTTCAAATCCAAGTTCATCCCACTGCCCTGCTCTCTCTCCATCGCCTCTTATCAAAAGGAAATCGGTTAAGTACTTGAAAGAAAAGGTTGTCAGTGCCATCTGTAATGGGGCATGGGAGGTAATGCAACAAATTGGGTACCTCTTTCAAAGAGCTAGCACTTGCATGATGGGCAAATGGCCTGCAGTGAAGCTGAGAGCTGGCTGTACGGCCGTCTCTGGCCCAATGCTAGCCTGTAGCCCCGGCCCTCACCGTGCTGTACGGTCGCCTCTGGCCCAATGCTAGCCTGTAGCCCCG